CGCCGAGCCGTGAGAATGGCTTTTCTCCTCCAGCCCCCCCCCTGTCCTACTCATTGTTTTCTTCATCTTCCTCCGCCTCCTCCTCCTCTGCTCCCTTCTACCTGCTCATGCTCCTACAACTTCAACTCTTACAATTTGGGGGAACTGCTGCGATGAGCCCCGGACCCGGCCCCATCTGGACCAGTTATTCTACAGAATGCATCATGGACGCAACGTCCCCTCTACCTGTGAAATGATATCATGCGGTGCGCTGTCGTATCCGGCCCTGGCACGACCCTTTGTACCAAACTATGCGGTGGACACTTGTTCATCAATGTTGCGAAGACAAAGGAGTAAGAGAACGCTATGCGGATCATATGCACGCGCTCGCGCTCGCGCAAGACCAAACCACCAAACACCATTAGCGTTGCTTCAAATATTTCTAGGTCGCGCTCTTCAATACACATAGGAGCAGACATCGTTGATCAATGATGATTACAGCTCATGTTTCCTGCGTGCGCGGGCCGGTGTTCACCGACGACATTACCCAAATGCGCGAATGATATCATCAGCTTTTGCGGATTTCTGCGGGGACTGAGCGAACAAATGATGTGTATGTTACGGCTTTGTGTGGCAATATGGGACTGTTCGGACTTGATGGGGTTAGAAGGGGTGAGGCTTTGTAGTAAGGTGGGCGAGTGGGTATCATCGCGTTCCGCAACGTACTGAACTATGCTGTACTGTTATGCGTGATTCGCTGTCTCCCATGAGCCCTATCTGACCCAGGAGACCACTTTTTTGAACTGGTCCGTCGTCGTCGTCTGTCGTCGTCGTCTGTCGTCGTGTGTCGTCGTCTGTCGTCTGTCGTCGTCTGTCGTCGTCGGTCGTCGGTCGTCGGTCGTCGGTCGTCGGTCGTCGGTCGTCGGTCGTCGGTCGTCGGTCGTCGGTCGTCGTCGTCGTCGTCGTCGTCGTCGTCGTCGTCGTCGTCGTCGTCGTCGTCGTCGTCGTCTGTCGTCTGTCGTCTGTCGTCTGTCGTCATCGTCGTCGGCGTCGTCGTTGTCGTCGTCGTCTCCCCGTGCCACTCCAAGCCCCAACGATTCGCCAACGTGCATCCAAACACCAGCATGCTGTGGCGAACACCACGGTACCGTTGAACACAGCGCTCCCTGCGAGTTCCCTGCGCCCCGCGGACCTGCACAACCGGCTAGGTTAGGTCATCCTGGGGGGGGGTAGGGGGGACGAGCCCGATAACCCGGGCTATCGCTGGACCCCAAAAAGGCAATCTCCAAACAACTTCCTAACAGCGTGTCGCTAATCCGCCACTGTGCCTCTGGGCACGGGGTGGGCGTGTCCCCAGGTCCTTTACCTAATCCCTGGAGCCTGAGTCCTCAGCTCCGAGGAGTCTTTAATGAAGAACGCATGACTTCTTCGGACCCAACCAAGAGGGCCTCCGGACGGGCCAAGAGGGCCCCAAGAGGCCCTCAAGACGGTCCAAGATGGCCCCGAGACGCCCAATGCTCGCTCCAAGACTTCCAAGATGGCCACAAAACGGCCAGAGAAGCCGCCAAAACGCCCCAAGAGGCCTCCAAGAAGCCGCCAAAGAAAGCCCCGAGAGGCAAGAATGATTGATTTTCCTCAGGCTTTTGAAAGATGTTGGCCTTCTCGCCTTTTCGGCTTCCCGACGCTCCCAGATGGCCGCAGAGGCCCCCCAAGACCGCTCCAAGACGGCCCAATAAGGCTTCAAGAGGGCCGCAAAACGGCCCAAGAGGGCCCCAAGACGGCCCAAGAGGCGCCCAAGACGGCCTAAGCGGGAAAAGGGACCCAAAAGAGGGAGCACGAACCGTAAATCCAAGCCTTCCATCCCAAGAGGCCCCTGGGAGGCCTCAAGAGGTGCCCAGGAGGCCCCAAGAGGCCACCAAGAGGCTCCCGAGAGGCCCCAAGAAGCCTCCAAGAGGCCTCCAAGAGGCCCTAAGAGGCTCCAGACCGGCTCCCAAGAGGCGTCCAAACTGCCTCCAAGAAGACCCCGAGAGGCCCCCCACGAGATCCCAACGAACACCCAATAGGCTTCACACCCACAACCCAGGCACGGTGGCGGGATGGGCCAAAGGCCATTAGATTTAGATCGGGCATGTCCTCCTACAGGGGAGATTTGGGAGGAAAAATAAAAAATTTGCCAAGACATATTCAAACATAGTCCAACATAGTAGTATCAGCCAGCGTTGACTCTAAATAGATAGGAGGACAGGAGGACAGGAGGAGGACGAGAGGAGGATGGGATAATGACGAAAGGAAGACGGGAGCAGGACGGGGGGAGCAAAATCAAGCAACCGCAAGCAAGCAAGCGGAAACAAGCAAGCGCAAGCGAGCAATAACAAGCAAGCAAGAGCCAGCGATCAAGTGCAAGCAAGCAAGGGCAAGCAAGCGAGAGGTGGTGCATTGGCATAGGTATAGGCATAGACATAGGAACTAGGGGGAGGCATAGCCATAGGCATAGCCATAAGAATTAGGGGGAGGGCATAGGAATTAGGGGGGGGCGCGCGGACCAATTAGAAAGGTTTGAGCTCGGACTCCTATAGGGCAAGCCTATTAGGAGAAAAAAGTTAGTTCCCAAGCACTTGTTGCTGATTTTTCGAATACTGTGTTCCTTCTGCAGAGGAGCAGGCCCGACTTAACATTTGATAGTGGTGCAGACGGCCACACAAGAGCCCCCCCGAGGGGGCGGGGAGACCCCTAGACCGCCCAGCATGACAAACTCCGACAGCGGCTGCGCCTAAGAATTCCTCACGACTGATTCAGGAATCGTGGTCTCGCCGCAACGTCCGCTACCTTGTTGGTCCAGACGGCCACGAGCCCGTGTAACAATTAGCCTGGCGAAGGACCCAACCACATGCAGTTGTGAATGCCGCAGCTGCGGGCGCAGTCTTCAATGGAGCTCCCTATGACTGGGGCCTTCGGTGGATCTCACTATGGGCCACGAAACGCTGTACTGGTCAGGGGAGACGCATGTGGACTTTGCCACTGGGGCCTTCGGTGGCGCTCCCTACGGACCACGAAACGCTGTACTGGGTGGGGACGCATGTGGACCCTGCCACTGGGGCCGTCGGTGGGGCTTCCTATGGGCCACCAAACGCTGCACTGAGTGGGGGAGACGCAAGTAGACCCTGCCACAGAGGCTTTCGGTTGAGCTCCAGGTATCAGAAGCAATTCAGCAACACTCATGCAGAATATCTGGTTTGAACTCCCCCCCTCCCCTCAAATGCAATGTTAGTTTCGGATCTTCCTATTCTTGGGCCTCCGAGTGGTCTTCAAGGAACGTGGCAACTCTGAAGTGCGGGGGGAGGGAGTGTTGCTTAATTTCTTCCCTCAACCGTCGCTCCCTATGGGCCACGAAACGCTGTACTGGGTGGGGGCAACGCATGTGGACTTTGCCATTGGGGCCTCTGGTGGAGTTCCCTATAGGGCCACGAGCCGCTGTGCTGGGTGCGGGGGGAACGCCTGTGAACTTTGCCACTGGTGCCTTCGGTGGAGCCCCCTATGGGCCACGGAATGCTGTACGGAGTGGGGGACACGCATGTGGACTTTGCCACTGGGGCCTTCGGTGGCGCTCCTAATAGACCACGAAAAGCTGTACTTCGTGGCGGAGACGCATGTCGACTTTGCCACTGGGGCCTTCGGTGGAGCTCCCTGTGGGCCACGAAACGTTGTACGGGGTGGGGGAGACGCATGTGGACTTCGCATGACTTTGCCAAGGGGGCCTTCGGTGGGGCTCCCCGTAGGCCACGAAGCACTCTGTTGGTGGAGCTCCCTATGGGCCACGAAACGATGTACTGGTCAGGGGAGACGCAGGTGGACCCTGCCACTGTGGCCTTTGGTGGAGCTCCCATAGCCGATGGGCCATGAAACGCCGTACTGGGTGGGGGAGGCGTACGGGGACTCTGCCACTGGGGCCTTCAGTGGAGCTCCCTATGGGCCACGAGACGCTGTGCAGGGTGGGGGGGATCCATGCGAACTTTGCCCTCGGGGCCTCCGGTGGAGCTCCCCATGGGTACGAAACGCTGTACTAAGTGCGGGAGGCGCATGTGGACCCTGCCACTGTGGCCTTTGGTGGAGCTCCCAATGGGCCACGAAATGCTGTGCGAGTTGGGGGGGACGCATGTGGACTTTGCCACTGTGAGGCTTCATATTGGCAGCGAAATACTGTAATGGGTGGGGGAGATGCGTGTGGCCTTTGCCACTGGAGCCTTCGGTGGAGCCCTCGATGGGGCACGAAACGTTTGAGGGTGTGCCGAAATGGTGCCGACATGGTTGTGCGGAGGGCAGAGGCAAACCATGGGAGGAGGGATGGGGTGGGCGAGGAGGAAGGTGAGGACGCGAGGCGCTGTCTCTTCAAAACAAGGGCCCAACGCCGCAGGAAAGAATGGTTGGGAATGACTATTTGATGGGGTTGGGGCCCACCAGCAGCTGGAAGTCGGCGTGTGCTTCTTGGGAGCGCAACTTCAGCGCGGCCATGCCACTGGTTTCTCGGTGCTGCAACTCCTCCTCCTTATCATTCCTCCTCCTCCTCCTCCTCCTCCTTATTCTTCTTCATCCTCCTCCTTCGCCTCCTCCTCCTCCTCCTCCTCCTCCTCCTCTTCATCATCATCATCATCCTCCTCTGCCTCCGTCCCAGCCTCCTCCTTCCCCCATCGCTCCTGGATCCCTCTTCGATGGCGCCCGCAACCGTCATCTTACACTACCCATGCTGCAGAGGAATTGGAGCGGGGGGGCGCGGGCTAGTGACGGAGGGAGGAGGGATGGAAGAGCAAGGAGGGTGGGAAGGGGGAGGAGGGGAGGGAGGGAGGGAGGGAGGACGGAGAAGGCAAGGAAGGGCGAGGAAGAGGAGAGGAAGAAAGCGAACAAGGAGGGCGGAGCGAGGAGCATGAGGCGGAGGGGGGGGGGCAAGGGGAGGGAGGAGGAGGAGGAGGACGAAAGGAAGGACCAGCAGGAGGGGTCGAGACGGAGGAAGACGCCCCCCCCGGCACCTGGAGGAGCAGCAGCCCGCCCACCACGGCGCCGTTCGGCATTGCGGAGCGCCGCGCCGCGCCTGGGCCCACCCCTGCCAACACTACAATCGGACCAGAAGAACACCCTTCAAGAACACGAGACCCTCCGCCGGCCAAAACATACAGACCATCCAGGGGTACCCTTCCCAGGATACACAAGAGCATCAAACAAGCACGAAGAACATGAAGGTGCCCTTCCCGAAACGACCTCGATCTTATACCTCGGCCCAGCTGTACCCCTTCCTCCTCCCCACCTGCCTTCTCCAAAGTTTAACGCCGCCGTTTGCGAAATCGACGCCCGCCAACAGGGAGTGCCGAAGAGGCCCCCCGACGCCCCGCCTCTCAAAGTCGGCGGGCGGCCGCGCCAAGCGGGAGCGCGGAGAGCTGCGAGAGAGGCGCCCGCTCTTGCGAGGAGCCAGTCGCTTCCCGTCAACCTTGACATGCAAGGGCGAGGGGGGCGCGTTTCGACGTCTCGTTTGCTTCTTATGCAAAAAATGGCATACACTTCTCGATTTGTGCGTGTCATCCTTGCGCAGGGTCCATGCTAATCTTCTCTGCATTGTTTTAATTCTACCGGATGGTCCCCGAAGGAATCCGCGTTTCGACGTCTTGTTGCCTACACCTGGCATGGGCGCCGCCTCCTTCGCAAACGGCAGGGTGAATACTACTTCCTTCTTCCCTGCCTCGGTGGAAGGTCCAGGCCCGTGATTACACCCATCGGCGGAACAGAAACAGGAACAGGAGCCGGCGCAAGGCTCCGCGAGGGAGCTGCCGGGGGGGGGGGGGGGGGGGGCCGCGGCCCGCTCACGTCTTGACGAACTCGCCCTTTATGCGGTTCCAGCCCTATCGGAGTGGAACTGATCGGCGGACAGAGAAGAAACCAGCGCCCTGGGAATGAATGGGCGGGAGGGGTAGGATGCCAGATGTGGCGCGAGCGCACCTAGCTTTCCCCATCCTCTCTCTCCCGTCTTCCTCCCTCTCCTTCTCCTCAATGTCTTTCCTCCCTCCTCCCTCTTCTCCCTCCTCACTCGTCTTCCAGATTAGTTAAACAGTGTGTTCTCACGCGGCCAGCGCTAAGTAGATGGCACGCTGCTTTCAGCTAGAGACTTGGTGTTCGGAAGAATTCCAAACTCAATACCGTGGGGCTAACATACACCCTCGACGAACTCGCTCGACCAACTCGCGTTAAACATGTTCTGGGCAACGCACACACCAGTGTGGCAAGTTTAGCCAGCACGCCGCCTACATTTCAGGTCATTTGTGAACTGACGCGTCCAGGCACCCTGGCTGCGGAATTGAGCGCTGATCAGCTGCGCTGGGCCCTCGGGAGTGGGATGGTCCAGTGCCGACAACAGACGGGCCCCCCCCGCCCCGTTGTGCCACACCTCTCACACGTTTCGTGCCCCACAGCGGGCTCCACCTACGGCCCCAACAACATAGTCCGCATGCCGCCCGCCCGCCTATTTCGGCACACCCTTCACATGTTTCGTGCATATTTGTGCCCCATTTCAATAGGGGCCCGACCACAAGAAACCTTCCACAAGAAATCCAACCCTGAGACCCCAGGATGTCCATTGATTTTTGGTGCGGGATCGTCGCGCTCTCCATTGCAAAACCATCGAAACCCGAGAAACCCAGGGCACCCTGGAGGCAAGCAGGGTGTTTCTTGGCATGGGTCTCCACTGTAAAGAGGCTACACCTACGGCCCAGCGATGCACTCCGCACGCTGTCCTCCAGCCCATGTCGGCACGACACGCCCCTCACACATGTCGGGCCCCTCAGACAGCTTCACATCAGGCTCCAACGGAACGGTCCGAATGCTGCCCTCTGGCCAATTTCGGCACACCTCTCACACGTTTCGTGCCCCATAGTTCGTGCCCCATAGATAGCACCACCCACGGCCCCAGCGACACAGTCCGTACGCCGCCCGCCCGCCCGCCCGCCCGCCCATTTGGGCAACCCTTCACACGCTTCGTGCCCTACCAACCGAGGGGGGCTACACCTACGGCCCCAGCGACACAGCCCGTATGCCGCCCTCACGCCCACTTCGGCACACACCTCACACATGTCGGGCCCCTCAGACGGCTTCACATGAGGCTCCAACGGCGCAGTCCGCATGCTGCTCTCTGGCCAATTTCGGCAACAACTCTCACACGTTTCGCGCCCCACAGATAGCACCACCCACGGCCCCAGCGACACAATCCGCACGCCGCCCGCCCGCCCATTTCGGCACACCCTTCACACGCTTTGTGCACGGTAAAGGGGCTCCACCTACAGCCCCAGCGACACAGTCCGCATGCCACCCTCCGGCCCACTTCGGCACGCCCCTCACACATGTCAGACCCCCCAAATAGCACAACCCACGGCCCCAGCGACACATTCCACACGCCGCCCGCCCGCCCATTTCGGCCCACCCATCACACGCTTCGTGCCCCACAAGGGGGCTCCACCTACGGCCCCAGCGACACAGCCCGTATGCTGCCCTCCAGCCCACTTCGGCACACACCTAACACATGTCGGGCCCCTCAGACAGCTTCACATCAGGCTCCAACGGCGCAGTCCGCATGCCGCTCTCTGGTCAATTTCGGCAACAACTCTCACACGTTTCGTGTCCCACAGATAGCACCACCCACGGCCCCAGCGACACAGTCCGCACGCCGCCCGCCCGCCCATTCCGGCACACCCTTCACGCGCTTCGTACCCCTCAAAGAGGCTCCACCTACGGCCCCAACGACGCAGTCCGTATGCCGCCCGCACGCCCATTTCGGCACACAACTCACACATGTTGGGCCCCTCAGGGGGCTCCACCCACAGCCCCAGCGACACAGTCCGCATGCCGCCCTCCGGCCCACTTCGGCACACCCCTCACGCATGTCGGGCCCCCGCAGGGGTAATCAGCAGGCCTCTGCGCACTTGCTCCGCAGGCCCCCATCCGCACTGCCCCGCAGATGGGCACGCACAGCGCGACTCGCGACTTCCTAGGGTTGGGCCCTTTGCCAGGCTACTAATTATTATCCTCCCTCCTCCTCCTCCTCCTCCTCCTCCTCCTCCTCCTCCTCCTCCTCCTCCTCCTGCTCCTGCTCCTCCTCCTCCTCCTCCTCCTCCTCCTCCTCCTCCTGCTCCTGCTCCTCCTCCTCCTCCTCCTCCTCCTCCTCCTCCTGCTCCTCCTTCCCCTCCTCTTATTCTTCCTCCTCCTCCTCCTCCTCGTCCTCCTCCTCCTCCTCCCCCTCCTCCTCCTCCTCCTCCTCCCTCCTCCTCCTCCTCCTCCTCCTCCTCCTCCTCCTCCTCCTCCTCCTCCTCCTCCTCCTCCTCCTCCTCCTCCTCCTCTCCTCCTCCTCCTCCTCCTCCTCCTCCTCCTCCTCCTCCTCTCCTCCTCCTCCTCTCCTCCTCCTCCTCCTCCTCCTCCTCCTCCTCCTCCTCCTCCTCCTCCTCCTCCTCCTCCTCCTCCTCCTCGTCTTCTCCTCAACCTCCACGTCCTCCCAGGAAGTAACAGCAAGCAGCAGCGAGGGGCAATCAGAAACATTCGGATGGTGCTCCAGAAGAACTCCACATGGGCCATACAAATACATGGCAGAATGCCTCGAAGGAGACAGAGGCCCCCAAACCCCGGGCGGGATCCGCCAACGGTTCGGACCTGCTCCAAGCCAATATAAGCTGATCCAACTGGCCGCTCGGGAGGACACGACGAGCGCAAGAACCAGCGAAATTCCTCCCCCACCTCCCTGGCCAACAAGGGATCCGCAGGGAGTTCATGCTGGCTGCCATCCACAAATCTGCGCGTCCTGGAGGAAGGCTCGCGCCGCCGACCAGCGCAGAAGTGGTGGGCGGGTAGCACTGAGCCGGCGCCGTGCACGAGCCGCCGGTCCTTGTGCGGCCTGTGCAGACCTGGTGGGTAAGCCGCATGCTCCAGCACTCGGGCACTGGCCGCCGGCAGCCTCCAGTGTGCGGGAAGCGAGCGCGTGGGCTCCACAAGCAGGGCGTGTGTGTGTGTGTGTCTCTCTCTCTCTCTCTCTCCCGATGGGGACCTCTGCTCATCACGTCTCCTGAGGTCGGCCACACACCCCGGTGACGGGGTGGCCAGGGTATTGTCGCGAGCCCAGGCTGCACACGAATTGGTTCACAAACCCCAGGTCAGCGGAGAGAGAGAGAGAGAGAGAGAGCTGAGGCGGGGTCGGCTCCACGTGGCTCCCAAACCTGAGCCAAAGGAGATGATGGCGATGACGATGGCGATGCCGTCATCGCCGTCATCGAGGTGATTGTCTGACCCCCGTAGACCAGCGTCCCGAGCTCCGCCTCGGGGGTTGCAGCATGTGCTCCTAGCCTGAGGTGCCCCCAGCTTTTCGCCTGGGCTTCGTGAGGGGCGCTCTGGAGGCTGTATTTCTTTGGACTCTGTCTTTGCTCGCATGGCGGTCCCCCCCCCCTCCCCCTTCCGCCGCCTCTTCCAACGGCGCTGGGCCGGAAAGGCGTGATAGTGTGTCACGACTTGCGTGAAGTGCAGATTTCCTTTCGGGCCTCACCACGCCCCCCCCCCTCCCCCCATGCAAGCATCTTGCCAGAGAACCTGAAGAACTGGCCATCGCTCGGACGCCCATTCCCTGTGCATTTGTCGATTTCGTGCGCGTGTTTTTCCGCCGGGTGGCCCAGGGTGCTCCTCGATGGTGCTCGCCGAGGAGAGTGCCGCCACGCCCGAGCGACGCCAAGAGAAAAAACGCCTCCTGGAGGTCGCCTGGGCCTCCCTGGAGGGGAGGAGGAGGAGGAGGAGGAGGAGGAGGAGGAGGAGGAGGACGAGGAGGAGGAGGAGGAGGAGGAGGAGGAGGAGGAGGAGGATAAGGAGGAGGAGGAGGAGGAGGGAGGAGGAGGAGGAGGAGAGGAGGAGGATGAGGAGGAGGTGGGGGAGGAGGGGGGGAGGGAGAGGAGGAGGAGGAGGAGGAGGAGGGAGGAAGGGCAGAGGGAGCAGGAGGGGCAGAGGGAGCGGGAGGGGAGGAGGGGGGGGAAGGGAGGGGGAGGAGGACAAGCTAGGTGCGCTCGCGTCATATCTGACATCCTACCCCTCCCTCCCATCCCTTACTATGGCGTAGATCCCCTCTCTACTCGCACAGTCGGATGTCGAGCAGGGCAATGATCCCGAAAGGGTACGCGATGCATTGTAGAGCACGGCATGGCATGGCGTAGAAGAGCACCGCGAAGCGTACCCACCGCGAGAGCGCCACCGCTCAGGGGGGGGCCTTCGCGCGCCCTCGGCGGGTAACTATTGGAAAGAAAAAACGCAAAAGTAAGAATTCGCACAGGTGCGAAAGCGTGCAAGCGTGCTTTCTTTGGGGCAGCGACGCCACTATGAGCGACGCGGCCGAAACGTGATTCCACTTGACGCGATCTCACAACAACATGATCGCCCCACCCCCACTCCACTTTTTTCACGAATGATGATCCGCAAGCGCTGACAAGGGGAAACGTCTTCCTCGAACGACGCATGCTGGCTTGAGGACATTTTTTCCAACCACCACCGCGAGAGCGCCACCGCTCAGGGGGGGTCTTCGCGCGCCCTCGGCGGGTGTCTACTGGAAAGAAAAAGAACGCAAAAGTAACAATCCGCACAGGTGCGAAAGCGCGCAAGCGCGCTTTCTTTGGGGCAGCGACGCCAGTATGAGCGACGCGGCCGAAACGTGACTCCACTTGACGCGATCTCACAACAACATGATCGCCCCACCCCCCACTCCACTTTTCTCACAAATGATGATCCGCAAGCGCTGACAGGGGAAACGTCTTACTCGAACGACGCATGCTGGCTTGAGGACATTTTTTCCAACCACCCCCTGGATTAAAAAGTCCGGATCGGCACTGCAGGCCCCCTTGCATCGTCGCTCCCCGAGAGGTAATCATGACTGGCAGGAAGTACCAAGCATAATCGCAACTTCCAAGCAACTTGACTGGGACCAGAAATTCATTTGCGAGGAAGTTCCAAGCGAAATCGCCAATTTCCGGTCGCCACTGAGAATTTCCGGTCGCCTGAAAAGCGTCCGGAAATTTTTTGGGAGGAAGTATTAGGCGGAATGCGGATTTCCGGTCGTCACCCCATTTGGCGATTATAATATTAGAGGGGGTGAGGATGGACCGGAAATTTAACCGTGGCGGCCCCTGCAACATTGTACCGGGGCCCCGTGGCCTAACGGGAGCCGAACATCAAGGCTCATTCCCCGACCTCTGCGGTCCGGACTTTTTATTCCAGGGGTTTGTAGCATCAACCTAGCATTGCATTACACGCCGTGGCATGGCACAGGAAATGACGCCAGCGCTGCAGCGGGAGCACGAGTCGAAACGAGCGGAAGCGCGGAAATGAGGCCATCGCTGCAGCGGGAGCACGATTCGGAACGAGCGGAAGCACGGAAATGAGGCCAGCGCTGCAGCGGGAGCACGATTCGGAACGAGCGGGGCCCGAAAATGAGGCCGGCGCCTCAGCGAGAGCAGCATTTCGAAAAAAAATGCAGGCGAAAACCCGACTCCGGGGAAACCGGTGTGTAAAAAAACAATACGCGGGGGGGGGTCGGACACTTTCAAACCGTCATCAGGGGAGAAGAGAGAGAGAGAGAGAGAGAGAGAGAGAGTAGTATTCATATTGAGTAATTGTGGAGGGCGAGGAGGAGGAGGAGGAGGAGGAGGAGGAGGAGGAGGAGAAGGAGGAGGAGGAGGAGGAGGAGGAGGAGGAGGAGGAAGGGCCTGCGCCCCGAGCCCCGTCGACTCCCCGCCCGGCCGGTGCAGAGCGAGGAGGGCCCGTCGTGCGGGGCGTACCTGGCGGGCGGGTGGCGGGGCACTGGGCTCAGGTCGGGCATGTCCTGCTGCAGGCGGGTCTTGAAGGACAAATGACAAGTAACAAGCAGCCACACAAATCTTCACAAATAGTCCAAGAGAGCGAACAATCTTCCCCAGACTATTTTGGCACTATTGTCGAATATTCCTCCTGTAGAGGGACATGCCCGACTTAACACTGGGCGCAGGCAGCAGGCGACAGGCCCGTGGAGGGGCAGGACCTGCTAGCATCTCAGCTGCCCCGACGCGCAGCCCGAAAACACGTAGCGTATTGATGCGGATCTCAACACGTAGACAGAAAAAGTAGGTTTGGCGCAAGACGTTCGACAAAGCGTGGGCAAACAGATTGAGCCAACACGCAACGTATTGACACGGACGTTTTGAACACGGCACGTGTTGCGTTTCAAAACGGGCGTATCGAGGCAGCCTAGGGCAGGATCAGCCAGCATCGTATGGCAAATCGGATCGAATCGAAATGTGCATCGGATCGGCGCGGGACCGAACCGGGATCGGATCGGCTGCGCCGGGACGAACAGCAGCGCCATGCGAGCGTCGGGCCGCATCAGACCGTCGGAATATCGGAATCGAATCGGGTCGGGCTGGCTGGAATCGACATCGAATCGGATCGATCGGATCTGAGCGGACCATGGCAGGCGACAGGCCCGTGGAGGGGACGGGCCGGCGGCCCAGCAGTCCTTGGCCCCTGGGCCCAGGAAGAGGAAATGGCGATGGCGACGAAGGCGACGACGATGACGACGACGTGCCCGCGGACCTCCCGGAGGGATGGGAGGGAGCGAGAGGTGTGGGCGAGGGGGGCGAGGGGTGGCGACGGAGGGAGAGAAGAGAGGAGCAGGGAAGGAAATGAGGAGACGGATGAAACGCATCCGAAACATACTTGGCCAACCCCCGGCAAGCCCTCAGGATGACAAGGAGCCCCCGTGCCTGACCCAAGCGTCGCCCCTCGGCCAAACAAGCACATCCCATCCGAACCTTTGGACAACCCGGCTTCGGCCAAGCCTGGGCAGCTCCCGAGGAGGAGGAGGAGGAGGAGGGATAAGAGGAGGAAGAGGAAGGGAGGCAAGGGGTAGGGTAGAGACATATAAAAAAGAGGAGGGTGAACCGTCTTCGTTCTTGACAAAGCAAATCGAAGGTTGAATGATGTCCCTACACCCCAGTCTTCCCCCCTGCGAGCCCTCCCAAGGGCTCGCCGTTCCACGGCCCAACGCTGCAATACGATACGCACCCGCTCCGCCAGTCGCGGTGGCAAGCGACATCGCACGACGCCAGGCTCAGGGCACCCTGCGGTCGTGATCTGCTGCGTCGCCGAGATGTTCTTGGAGTGCGTGAACACGCACCTGGTATACGCCATGCCAGGAAGAGACATACACATCGCGAGATATCAAGTTTGACCGAATCCCGCATAAACAAAGTCGCTGCGCCTGCTAAACGCAAGGTGGAGACACGTGACTCTTCATCCGCTAAAAGCAAGTTCAAACAAACACGAACAACGTGAACGCGCTGGCACATGTCATGACCCTGCCTCGCTCTAGTGTTAATGTGTTTTTTTTTCTTTCGCTCTACTGTGCTGCTGGAAGCGAGGATGGCAATGACATTACCGATGACAATGGTGGAGATGATGCTGATGATGACCGTTAGCGGCAATGGGGGTCCTGATGCTAGCGTTGATGTTGACGTCACAACGCTAGTTCTGCGCAGGCTGTTAGAATCCGAGCCAAGACAAGCGCGCCTGCGCGGGTTTTGCAACGCTGCACTCGCTCCGCTCTGGTTCACGAGGTGGGTCCCGTGTCGTCGGGCTGGCTGTGACGTCGGGCTTGCTCGTTGGCGTTTGCCGCCTAGGTCGCTTCATGGAATCAGCGGCTGGGCTTCGTAATGCTCGCGCTGTCCAAGAAGAAACAACCTAAAAAACGTTCCACGCTGCTTGCCGAAAGCTCTGGGGCGTCAGTGGACTGGGCGTCGTCGGTGTTCGCGACCTTGCCAATAGCCTCACCCTTGACAGCTTGTCCCTTTTGCCCTCCGATCTTGCGCTTGTGCTTGATCTTGCCCTCGCCTTTAGCATTGGTCTTGCCTTGATCTTGTCTTGGCCTTGTCCTTTTGCAACTGTCGCATCGCTGCAGTCAAACCTAATCGCGCTCGGACTTTCACCGCGAGGCCTACCTAAAGAGCGGCGTTCACACCGGCGCCCTCCTCGATCAGCTTTTTCAACGTTGCAGCGGCCGCCGTACCGCGCACAACCAGCCATCCTGAAGCAAACCGCTTTGAAGCCCGCCCACTTTCGAGAACAATTTTCACCCGCGACCGCGCGCGTCGCTCGCGCTCTGGCGCTCGCGGAGAGCGATGCGACATCTGAGGGCTCCTGGGCACTGCAGCGTGGCCGCACAGCGCGTCGTGAAGCAAGCTGGCTGCGCATCACAGCTACGGCCCCCTGGTGGCTGGTCACTGCTCTGCTCCGTACATCGCGCGCACCTGCCAGCGCCGCAGCCAACCCGTAGGATTCGACTGGGGGATCGACTACAGAATTCATTCACCCCAAAATTGATTTTCACGTCGACTCTTCAACAAAAATACGTCAACTATTCGTAGATCTGCGAAAGTTCTACGAACTGCCCGTGGATTCGACTAGAAAAATCAATTCTGGGGCCAATCAATTATGTAGTCGATCCCCTACTCGAGTGATTAAGGGCGCACGATACGGCTGCAAGGGCCTTGGAAGGCATGCTGACACTTTGCGAGCGGGGCGCGGCCAGCGAAAGCGGCCAAGGATGGGCCGCAGGGGAAGGATGCAAGGGTAACCTTGGAGAGTCGCTCATCCTTCCTATGCGGGTTGACTGTCGTTCAGATCTCCCAAGGAATGAGACACTCCCCAGTCTGTCGCGGAGGAACTCCGCAGTGCGGGCGCACGCCATGCGCCCGCACCTGCACGAGATGGCATCCGTGGAACCTGATATGGACCACCGCAACAACTCGTCGGGCGGTCCGTGCCCGATTAGTGCACCAAAGCTCCCGTGAGCTGCGGAGGCGTCGCGAATGTGCGTTTCTCCGATTTGGGGACGATTGCGCAGGGCCCGAGTACCTCGACGTGGACGTACATACGTGCCAAAGGTTTGCAACGCTGGCCAAGCATTCGAGCTAGGCCTGCGGCTCCAACTCACTGTGACAGAGCTCTTAAGTGGCCTTCCGAACGGGCGTTGTTGCCGTCGATGTCGACGCCCAAATGGTTGCACCAGCGCTCTCATGGCACACGATGTCGAGGTCGAAGTGCTCGAACGCTGCGACGACGATTTCGTGGGATCTGCGACGTGCTTTTCCCGCAGCATTCCTGATCGCCGCTTATCCATCCAGCCGACGCTGCATCAATCGGCGTGAAGGAACTCAAGAAGTGTAGCATTAAGCCTTCTGGTACATGTTCACAACACTCCCTCCAGGAGCGTGTTCTTAGGGGTACCTTGTAACAGCCAGTCTGAACAAATAGTCTGCGAACCACTGCATGAAACCAGACGGACATGGACAACTAACCTCTCAGGTATCCCGTGTGACCAAAAACCTGCATTGCGCTACGTGATGGCTTTCTCCGCGCATGTGTACGTCGCGCAAGACTACAGCCCACCTTAAGCGTCGCATTGCATGGTGGTGCTAGGTCTGTATAGCGCAATGTCGCCTCACATGCTATGGTGCGTGTTGCGTTGTCATTGCAGGTTTTCGTATGCTCATCAGTCTGTATATGTACATATACGTACCATTGCGTTGAAGTTTCGTTCCATGTGTACTAGCATGCAGCGCAACACAATCCATCTTCATTGCAGCGCATTAGGGGCAGCCGGTAGCACCGCACGCTCTCGTCGCAGCACTCCACGCCGCACTGCCGGATGTAGTTCATGCACGAGCTCTGGCAGGGCCTGCGCGCGCCCTGAGATCGGACGTTGCCAAACAACAAGCAACATCGCAAAAAAATCACGCCAAGACCCGTGGACCAAAACTTCCTGCGTCATTTTTCGAGGCTGATCGATCCGTG